TATAACAGGAGTCATCATTCAGTTCTCAACTGACATATATTGACACAACAAAATAAAACAGCTTCTCAGGCTACTCCACCCACCTCTGAACCCACAGCACATTCTTCCCACCCCCCCGCAACCTGCAAAGCTATTGTGTTCATTTGATGATACCAGGATTTGCTTCTGTTTTGCACCTATGCTGCTCTTTTTCAGCCCCACAGTTACACTCAGCTGCTCCCCTACAAGCTATCGGGGTGGGGGGGAGCAGAAGGGGCTCCCAACACACACTTCATCACCAAAGCAAGCTGCACTACGCCGGCTACTCCATCCCGTTAGGCAAGGAGCAAGCGAACACGGAGTGCAGGGATAAAGCCATCGCTCTTGCCCTTCCCTTCCCCCTTCCCAGGCAGAGGAGAGAAGCAGAAAGCGTATCTTATTTCATGCCTTTGGCATGTGGACGTAAGAACATTATTTTATAATCATCTTATTATTAAAGATCAGATGATGACGGCTGATGATGAGGCGCCATTCGGAGGAACCTCGTCAGTGGGCTCATTGTGGGTGCCGGCAGCTCTGCAGCTGAAGGCAGCCCTGCGCCCCCCGGCCGGCTGGTCTCAGGCTCCCTCGCTGGGGTCTCCAGAGGGACAGCGCGAGGTCACAGCAGGGCCACAGGCTCAACATTTGTCTAATAGCAAACCCAGCCCGGACTGGAAAACACAAAGGGTACGGTTGTGAAGTTATTTGGAATGCTAGAGCTGCTTTTCTCTGTGTGACAGAAAGCAGATCCTCTCTCCCCGTCTTTCATTTAAAGAGTAAAACCATTGTGGTTTTGATTTTTTTCCCTCCATTTGCCTAGTTTCAAAAATCAAATCCCCTAAGGTTTATCTTAGATGGCTATTTTTCACATCAATGAAGATACAAAACGCTCCCTCCCATTATTGGTATCAGGCTTAAGGTTTTGAGCTTTTTAGAGCCATTTTGAGGACTTTATAAAGGCCAGCTGGGAGGGAGCTCACCCCGCAATACAAAGACAGTGGGTTGCTAACAGACAGACCTGCCCTCCCAACAGATGCCTGTTCTACAGCTGCACTTGGAGATTTTGCTACCTATGAAACAAGTATAGGAGATGGAGCCACTCCTGTGGTCTCACCAACAGCACAGACCACCTAGCATCCTCCTTGGTGTTTAGCACCATGACCTCAAAGGCAGCACAGAGCCCTTGTCAATAATAACTAGGAATTGTCAACTAATCATCAACTGCAGTGTGCTAACACACAGAGCTCAGGGGAGTCCCAAACGTGCAACCCCTCCAGCCAGGCTATCATCACTTTCAGCAGCATGGGGAAATTTTATGCAGCTGTAGGTGGCTCTGGGATCAGTATCTCAGCTATAATCACTCCATGCTTAACTCCACTGTGTAGAAAATTCTGCGTGGCTACATGGGATGTTAATTTTTGAGTTCACTTTCTACCAAAGCTCCCTCCTATTGCAGCAGCTAAGCAGAATAGCACCTCAGGTAAGCTGAAATGAGAGTAGGGATGTAGTTAACCCAACCTCAAGTGTTGTACAGAAAAAAGGGATTTGTCCTCTTATCCCTGATATGCCTGGAGATGATGTACTCGCTCTGCTATGCTCTCGTGGGTTGTGTGTTTCGCCCTGAGTTAAATACCGTGCTACGGCTCAATTGCCATCATGCTAGTCACTGCTGGGATGGAACAGGATTGCAGCAGCAACAGCTTTCATTTGGAATTAAAAATATAAACATGTTGCCCATGTAAACAGGAAAAAAAATATATATGGACTGAATGAGTGTGTACATGTGAGATAAAGGTCATAACTTTCTAAGAGCCACATCTGATGGTGATGTGTCAAGGGTAATACCTCGGTCAGCAGAGAAATTAAACTGTGAGGCTCTCTGTGGCATAAAATATACCAAGCGGTAGGTATTGCCTCCTTCGTAATGATCAGGAAAAGCTGACCAGCAGCTGTACACGCTGTGGAAGAGTCTCCAAGGGGAGGAGTGGGCAAGTACCTAATTTTAGAGTAAACCGAGTCCTGCCTTGAGAACTGCATGGAAGCAGGAGCCCGAGGAAAGGGAGCCCCCCATCTCTGCTGGTGCTGCAGTCGTGCCTCGCGTGCCAGGGCACCCCACCGGAGACAGGCACTCCTGCATAGAAACCAAGCTAGGGGAAGGCTTTGGAGAGTCTTATCACCCTTTGGGCAGTCACAGCACTGAAATATGAATGTGTTACAAAGAAGAAATTGAAAAAATCCAAATCTGTGTCAGGAGATGATTTTATAGGGCTCCCATTGTGTTGGAACTTATCAAGCAAAGCCTTCATTTCCAATCCGATCCAAAAATCACTGAAGCCAAGTGCAGCCTGTTCACTGCTTCGGGAGACTTTGGAGCAGCCCTTTCTAAACTATGGAGGGAACATGTTTTGGAAAGGAAAAGAAATACATTATGCTAATTGTGCAAAACATTTTCAGCATCCCTTAGAAATGGGCACATTTACCTGCAAGTTGACAAAGGTTTAACTATTTAGGTAATAGTTAAAATTCAAAAGAGATTTCATTACAAATTGAATCATTCATGCAACAGAAGAGCAGTTTTCTCTTTTCATTTCCTCTCAAACATTTTGTGCTGCACAGAACACTTCAGTACTCATCATTATTTTAAACATTTTCAGCATCCCTTAGAAATGGGCACATTTACCTGCAAGTTGACAAAGGTTTAACTATTTAGGTAATAGTTAAAATTCAAAAGAGATTTCATTACAAATTGAATCATTCATGCAACAGAAGAGCAGTTTTCTCTTTTCATTTCCTCTCAAACATTTTGTGCTGCACAGAACACTTCAGTACTCATCATTATTTTTTGAAAATTAACTGCCAGGTCAACTTTCAGCTGAATCACTGGTGAGCAATTCAGGAGGGAAAGGTGAAGCTGGAAGAAAGTGGAGAGCCTTTCCCCAGTAAAGAGGCGACTTTTAGTTTTGATGCAACAGAGCACTCAGATAAAAACCACAAATTAAAGACAACTAGCATGAAAGAACCTAGACACTGAAATAAGGCAGAGATTAAGACTCTCCTATAGATTAATTTCAAGCAGCTCTGAGCAGTCAGAAAGTTTTTACAGTCTTCTGGCATAACTCATCTCTACCAAGGTCAAGAGCGATGGCCTCTAGGGTCACACACCCAGCCTGGCTGCCAGCCGAGCACGACACACCTTGGGCCACCCCTCGGGTGTCAGCCGAAGGACAGGGACGTGCACACCCACAGCAGGAGGCGGCTGTCGCGGACCGGCCAGCACAGCCCCAGCTCTGCCAGCCCCGGTGGCGTGTTGACATAAAAACAAGGAGACAAGGCAGGTAAACATGCCCGTTTCAGCTGGCTTGCCTTCATCTGCAGCTCAGCCTGCGCTCTCTCTCTGGGGGAAACCTCCGGCTCCCGTGTCCTGCTGCATCATGGAAATATTTGCAGCTGGAAAGGAGTAGAGTGTTTTCAGTGGTGAGGGGTGGCCAGCGGGGAGAGCAAGTGGGTTCACCCCACAGAAATGCGGGGCAGGACTAAACCTGTGTAGGTTTTGCCCTCAAGGTTTTTCTTAAATGGCGTCCAAACAAACCTCACAGTTTTGCATAGCAGCACCCTATTGTATGCAGTTCACACAGGAAGTCTATTACGTCCCTCCCTGGGGGGTTTAGCAGTGCGGAGAGGAAAAAAAGGGAAAATTATTAAATACTGTTAATCCTACTAGGATTGCTGCCACAGGTGCCTTCCCCTTTGCCTCCCAGAGGACGGCTGCGTATCCAGAACAGGCCCCAGAACAGTTTTGTTCTCACATGAGCACCTCAAGTCATGAGTGACCACTGCTAAAGAGCACCAGCAACCTGCTCCCTGCTGAGCCCACCCCTCCCAGTGCCTTCCTGCCCGATTTAATGCCTGAAGTTCTAACAAGGACATCATGGCGGGTCAAAGATAGGAGCAAGCAGAGCCAACAGCCTGGGGAATAGCAGCAATGCACAGTGCTCATCAGACCAGGACAACACCACAAGCACCTCAACAACATGGCTTTTCCAGCCAGGATTGTAGAAAAAACCCTGCTCTCCAGCCAATACCCTTTTGCCAGAAATGCTCCTAGTCGGCAGATAGAGCTGTGCTGGTGGGAAGGCCCAGCTCCTGAGTTTGCCCCTGTCATGGAGGGGGTGGTGTAACTACAAGAGAAGAAAAAAAAGCTTTTCCAGCACATGGGTGATGGAGGCAGTGACACAGCTGTGCTCACGGGGTGAGAACGGCAGCAGCTTCTTCCTGTGCAGAGGCTCCAGGCTTGAACTGATCCCAACCCATAACTCAGCACGGGCCCTAAGGAAAGGCCGCTGTTACTGTGTAATAGCTGTCGCTAAACTACACGAAGCAACTGGTTTCATCCCATTTCTTGGCGGAAATGTGCCCATACCCTGTGTCAACTCAGCAGCTGCTGTACCAGCATGACAAAAAACTCTTTGTTTTTTGAGGTTCCACACAGCCCTTCCAGAAAAACATCGCCAGGCAGTTTTGGGGTAGGTCAAGCCAGCAAACATGCAAAATCAAAGCCAAACAGGGAGACAAAGTCTCTACCCTGATCCTCTGTTCCTTTCCCGTTCTATTAGACAATCTTCTCAGGACCAAAAGGAGACTCAGGAGACAGAAGCTGCCTGGGACCCCGCTGGGAAGGGCTGGCTCCCTCTGTCTGCAGCAGATCCTGAGGAGAAACCTTCCGGCTTGACCTTCAGGGGCCCTCTGCCTGCCGCGGCACCGGCATCCACCTCCTGCTGGAGCTGTTTCGGTCAGAGTCCTTCTCTGTCCTCACCTGGTCGTGACAGGAAAGTTCAAGCTGTCCTGGCAGCAGGAAGCTCCTTTGCTCCACCCTCTGCCCTGCACACCGGCTCTCTCAGCTTATCGAGGATTTCCTGCGCCAGAGCTGCCGGCAGCAGCGACCCGACCTGTGCGGCCGCTCAGGTGGGAGCTGGACCCCCGGCATGAAGCACTTCTCCCACGAGCCCTGGGCAGCCTTCGCTGCGGTCTTCTTCACCATCCTACTGTGGTACTCCTGCTCAGCAGGTATTTCTCTTCTCTTATGCTCTGGTTTCTATACCCTGACTTTTCCCCCGCTCCTCTCAATACCTAAATATATTGCCCACTGACAGTAATTTGTTGCTTAAAAGTAAGGTGGGGTCCCTTGTCTCATCTAAAAAGTATAAAAAGCTGGAATTGATTAATGCTAATGAGAATTACTTGACGTGATTGATCACAGCATCTTTCTGAAGAGATGTGCTTTAGCCAGCTATTTACAGATCCACTGTAAATGCGACTGAGCTGCAGGTTGTTCCACTGAATGGCAAGGAGATGGAGACCCCCGTTACTTGGCCTTCATGTGCTTGCTGAGGCAAGGGACCATTTGAAATATCATCCAAGAGGCTCCCTGTAGTCCGGCTTAGCTCTTATTAGGTGCTTTTCGCAGGAAATCTGGCTTTGAGCCCCTTAATTGAGAAGTTGCCTAAAACCAAAATGTAAATGAGACCCGTGAGCTGCTCTTTTCCCATCAGGCCACTGCCTGCATTTGTATATCAGCACTGGTTGAGACCTGCCAGGTGTTTAAAGATGGCTTAGTTTTGACAGCCTGTCCTTTGGGCTGCAAAGTCTATAAACATGAACCAAGGCTCTGTATTCCACAGCACTTTCTTCCACAGGTCATACATAGTTTTTAATGATTCTTCCCAGTGCTCCCGTGAGGTACTTATTAACCCAGAAAACAAATTATGGGCTTGGCCAAGGTCATTCAGCAAGTCCTAACAGAGTCAGAAAGAGGAATGGGGAGTACTCAGACCCTTCCCTGGAGCAGGCTGCACAGGGACCTGCTGCATGGCGGCAGCAGGAAGGAAAGCTCTAGTTTTGCTGATGGTCGGTCAGCTCAAAATGCAAAGCTGGGCAACAGCAGGGGACCCCAAGGGGGACATCTCCTACAGGACAACCTCAGTTTATTTGCTGTTACTTGGAAAATACCAAAATCAAGGCAAAGGTTTGGTCAAAGGTCTTGTTCTGTTTTGTTTTCCTGAGGAGAAACTAAACCTGAGCCATTATTTTGAAAGTCTTCAGTGAAATCAAGCTGAAACTGATTTTCTCTCTCTATCATAGTCCAAATTATCAGCACAGAGTGATGGTTTGACTAGAAATAGTTCTCTCATAGCTTCTGCTTGGTCTGTGGACCAGCAGCACGTTGGAGCCCCTCCATCGGCAGGAACCCTTACTCTTGTAGCCTCTCCAGGCTGTATTTCATGTATCTTTGCAGGGGACCATTTCAGCATGGGATACTTCATCTGGCTGAACTTGAACTGTACTGCTCATAGTGGCACAGGAGGAGATGTTTGTTTGAGTCCCTTCCATCTGCAGCAGGGGAGAGGCTGGTGCTAATGCACAAGGACCACAGCAGCCTCTGCTTTTCCCATGCAGCTGTCTTTGCATCTGATCCTGCAGTGCTGCGAGGTGCACATTGAAGCTGAGGGGCAAGGGGGGTATTAGAAGGTCTAAGGAGACTTTGGTCTGCGATACCATGTACAGGTTTGGAGGGCTGAACACCAGCCACAGAGCTGTGCTATGCCAGAGTGCATGTGTGCTGTGATTCTGGGTGGGAAGCAGGATAAAGAGACAAAACCTTCATTGAAGACCCCTGTCCCTCTCCCTCCCTTATTTATTTCTGTATGTTGTATTTTCCAGCCTGAGCTGGTCATCATATTGGCCTGCAGGAGCCCTGCCACAACAGTTGCAGACACAGCTGCACCTGAACTGCAGCGAAGCCAAAGCTTCCCGCTGAGGCTCTGCACGGATGGGCTCAGCCCTCAGCTCCACCGGTGTCTTTTGCACCCCGGAGATACTGGGATTTTTCTAAGGGCAAAAGGAGGTAGATGTACAGCTCACTGGCCAGGGATCTCCCCATGCCACTGAAAGGTCTCTCTCATTTCAGTCCTTGCTTGTTCTCCCCCTATAGCTTGGGAAAGGACGGTGGTTAATCTGAGATCTGAGTGAACAGCTCACACCAGGGTCGTACTCGGGTAGAGGCACAGTGATTCAACTGCTCCTTATGGCCGGGGCTAGAACAGCTCTCTCTAGAGCCTGTGTTGACAGTGGTGGGATGAGAAAGCATACCCCGATGCAGCAATGTTTAGGGGCAGGAACTTATTTTCTCCAAGTTGTTTCCATCCTACAGACCTCTTGCAAGGCCAATGGCTTTCAGATTTTCATGCTTGACGCCCAGTACTGCTTTTCTAATCCAACTTGCCTTTTCTCCTGTGCTTTCCTTCTGGCAGCAGCTGAAGATGTCTCCAATGCTTCAACAAGCTCCACGCTCACAACTGAGTACGAAGCACCATGTCTTAGTAAGTCTTCATAAATCATTGAAGTGATGGAACAAGGGGTAATGGCCTTAAACTGAGGGAGGGTACACTTAGATTAGATATTGGGAAGAAATTCTTTACTGTGAGGGTGGTGAGGCACTGGAACAGGTTGCCCAGAGAGGTTGTGGATGCCCCATCCCTGGAAGTGTTCAAAGCCAGGCTGGAGGGGGCATTGGGCAACCTGGTCTAGTGGAGGATGTCTCTGCCCACAGCAGGGGGGTTGGAACTAGATGATCTTTGAGGTCCCTTCCAACCCAAACCATTCTATGATTACTACCATGATAAAGCCAAGTGATGAGACTACACAGGTGACTGAGCAGCTGTCACGGAAAAGGATTTATCTGTTGTCAAGGGTTCTGTTGCGCGTGAAACTCTAGAACACATTTCTAAGACTCCTCCATTGGCATGCCCAGTATAGTATCTTAGGTACCTTCAGAGGGACTTGCATCTTTGAACAGGCTAATCCATAGCTAATTCAATTTGTGTGTCCTAAAGCTCCCTGCCAGTCTGCCTGCCTGTATGCACAATGTGGATTCCCAAGAGCGCCTCTTTCCCCCACCATACCAGGTCTTCCCCAAACAGCCAGTACCAGGAGGCAACCTGAGATCCCACCAGTCCTCCTCATCATCCTCCTTCCCAAATGTCAAACATCACAACAGTCCTGCACTTCATGAATTATAGTACGTGTACCAATAGAGGTATGCTAATTCAAAGCTTGGCACAGGGGGCAGGCATCCCTCTCCCTTCTCTAGGCACATACAAAACATGTCTCTCATTGTGGGAAGAGCTGCTCTCTACAGTGCAGGACAATTGTACTGTGTGCACTGAAGGCCAATGCAAGGAACATGGTCCTGTCTGATGTACTTGAAGGAGAGCAACTGAGCAGCACCTGCACTTCCCTTTTCCCTGGAAATGTGCAAGAGGCTGGCTGCCCTGCACCAAGCTCAGGAAGCATTCACTTTTCACACCTGACAAGCTTCGTGCACGTCAACATGCAACACATGTAGCTGCAAGGTGGTTTTGGCTACCTCAGCTGTCCTGGGTGTTGGGGTTTTACGCTCAACTTCTAGCCCAAGGGCTTGAGATACCATGGTCCTCCAGGCTCCCTTTGATACATCCACGTTACCACCTGGGATGCAGACACAGAGCTGGGTATCTTCACTGTGCCCTTGTGATGGAAAAAGTATGGTAGATACTTTTAAATAACAGCATAAATGAAACAACTAATGACGTATTCCTTAACTGACTGTAGGAAATTGGACCAATTTAAACAAAAAAAAAGATACAAAAGGGGCAAGAAAATAATTGTTAAAAATTATTTCATTTTCAAACACGTACACCAGGGATTCCCCTAATGGTGTGTTTTGCATATGTTACACGCAAATCACAGTTAACAGCCCAGCAGAGCGCAGCCGCTCCCTCTATTGCTGGCAGAGGTGTTGGGTCCCTCAACTAGCTTAAGGTGTCTCTGCTACAGATCCTCTTACTCTCTCACATGAAGGTTTCTCTACCCCAGATTTATTTTTAACTAGCTACTTCTATCATATTCCATTCCTAAAATTGACTGAGGAGATGCTAAGTAGGTGTTTTAAAAGATTTCTGTAATGCTGGGCACAGTGGTCAAAGGAGCATCTAAGGTGTTTGGCCAGACAGGGATGACTGATTCTTGAAGACATACAGATGAATATTGCCATCCCCCAGGTTAGGAGCCAGGCTTAGGGGAAGGATGCCAAGGCAGAGTGACAGGCCACAGGGCAGACAGCAAAGTCACTGTTTCATCTGCCTTCTAGCAAAGGAAACCTGTTACGTACTTAGCCTCCCACCAGCTCACTTCATTTCTTCGCCACCAGACGTGAACTTCTGCACACAAGCAGCCGTGTGCTGCCCGACGGGCGTGGATGATTATGGATGGATTGCTGCGGCTGTCGGCTGGAGCCTCTGGTTTCTGACTCTCATCCTGCTCTGCGTGGGCAAGGTCATGAAACTCCGGCCTGACGAACCCAAATATTTGGTGGCCTGAAGCAGAGCAGGCCAGCAAGCAGCAGCACCTGGGAGCACTGAGGTACAGACAGACCGACAAAGCATTTCAATCACTTCCTAAGAAATAAAAAAGCAAGGGCACGTACCTTCAGCTAAAAAAGGCCAGATCTAAGCAGGGCACCTGCTGGGGCTTCATGGTCCCTGGCAGGTCAGAGCTGCCAGCCCAGGTGCGGAGCAGGCAAGACCCTGCAAGCCACCACCTATGTCCCACAGTACACAGAAATCCTTCTCCCTGAGCCCCTTCATGCCTGCTGTGAGTGCGCCAGCAGCAATGGGATGCTGAAGGACCAGTTACCGCTGTGTAGCACATTGTCTTAAGAGAACCTAGTACATAACCGCTGACTTTGAAACAGAAAGTGGGCAAATAAAGATATTTTCTGGAGGATGATGTTTCCAGATCCATTACTAAACTTTAGGCCAGGTTACATCAGTAAGTGGCTGTAACTCATTGATTATACTGAGTCCTCCTCACTCACTAAATTGCGGTATTTTAAAGTCTATTAACTGATACCAGTGAAAACTCTGTTATGGAAACTTAAAGATTGTTTGGGCTGGTTTGAAATTAAAACTTGTTTTTCCAGTGCAGTTTATTTGTGAACTATTTTGTAAGAATTTTATGTTGGTTGTGTTTATTCAGCTAGCACCTGCCCATGTAACTAAGCCAAGCTGAACTGTGGCAAGCAGGTTTAAACCAGCATATCCAATCCATTCACAAAACTGTTCCTATTTATGCAAGTTGATAATAAACACTCTTATTAATGGAAAGACTTTCACCGACTGGTTTATATTGATAAAGCTTATATTGGCAAGGAATTACCCAACGCAAATTGTTAGAAACATGATTCTAACAAGAAATATTCATGCAGAAGGGTTGGCCTCACTGCAGTCAAACTGTCTGGTTTGGGGCAATTGCACCAGTTTGATTTCTATCCATTATTAAAACAATAAATCAGTGCTAAACCCATCTAGACATACACGGGATCAGCAAACCTGCTAGAGACCAACTGAAATGAAACATAAAAAGTTACTCTTAAACCAAAGAAAGTTCTATCGGAGGTTTGCATCTATTATCATTAAAGCTTCCCTTCAGTTTATCAATGCACAACTTTTCCAGTTAGAAAAGATACCAATCTGCTTAAGACTCTTCAAATTGATTCTGGCACAACTAGATGCTTTGATCAGAACAACTCTGTGCCATTTCAGAGTGATGGGCAGTTGTCCCTTATCAAATATCTGCCATCAACAAGAATGGGGACAAGTTAGACACTGAGGAAAAAACATCCTTCCCTATCATTGCTATCACTTAACACAACAAGTCTTCCGGAGTGAAATGCCAAACAGTCACTAGTGTCAGGAAAGAAAGATTTGAAAGGGAAGGGCTTCATTCTTTTGTGGCTTTGTTACTGTGTGTGTTTTGTTAGTTGTTTTGGTTTCTTTCCTTTTACATGCGCCATGTTTACTACTAGTAGTAAACTACAACAAAATATTGCTCGATTAAGAAAAAAAATACCAACATTTCAACACAGAACAATGAAAACAAAAGTAATTTTCACAAGACAAATCTCCATGTTGGACCAGCAAACTATTTCTTTCCACAAAAAATCCAGACCAAAACCCCCTTGCATATGTACAAACTTACAGAAGCAAAGGCCTCTACACCAACCAGTTGGTGTTGACTGAAAGAACAGTAGTTGACAGTTAATGACCACTGCAGTCACTGATGGACAACAAATCTTCTAGCTACATACATCTTTTTTTCCCTGATTAATTAGTTTTAATAGTGGAAAATGTGCATTGGCCTGAAAGCAATGTCATACAGTGAAAAAAATCTCCATGTATCGCCTTAGTGTCTACCTTCTGCAAACCTCTTCCTACACTTCTCCCATCTTATGGAGATTGTTCTCCTGGTTGGGAACACAGACGCACCTGCTGGATGTAGCACTGGTTTTCATCCCCATTCATCTTTGAGGGAATACGTTTCACAGCTTTCCCATTTCCCTGGCTAAGGCTGCGAGTGCACGGATGCAGCCAGTCACAGAAGTAAATCTATTCCAGTCTGAAGAGTTGTAAGCATGTGATGCGAGCTCTAGATGTCCTATAGCCCAGCACAACACCTACAAACTAGCTTCATAACAACTGGGCAATTCTGGGGGGGTTCCTAAAGCCTGCCTTTAAAAGCACAGCTTGTTTGTTTTTCACACTCTCCAAAATAGTCTGCTTGTGTGCAGCTACCTTCAAGGCATGTACCAGACTTAAACCTCACGTTTTGCTTCTCACAGCTTCTGTTGAGGATTCACAGCTCAACCGAACTGGGGAAAAAAGGAAAAAACCCATAGTTTTTCATATAATCTAATGCCCCCAGGGATTTTGTATACCTATGTTCAAGGGTGACACTCAAGTCTCAACAAAATCAGGTATACAAATAGGATATCTTACAGATCATTTCTGCTGTGAAATGTATACTTTATCTAGACCAGTGACCTGTAAACCTCTGATCTAACACACCAGTTTTGTTTCCTTGCTGCATCACCGACTTTGACCCCTGACATTGCCAGGTTTGATCTATAGCTTCTTCTTTTCAAGTCATTTGACCTCCTATGAAGTGGATTGGGTCATTTAGAAAAATGTAGTCCTGTAATAAATTTCATGAACATACTACTACTCTCAGTGTGTTCAGGATCCCTAAACAAAGTGGCAGCATCCCAAAAGCTCAAAGGCTACCAATGTAAACATCTGTTCCTATGCGATATAGTACAAAAAAAATTAAATTATTTGAAAGAGACCCTCCGAGGTACGCGCTATGTGTCGTACTGATCCCAGGCATGGTTGGCAATCACAAGTACAATGCAAAGCAACGCACCATGCAAAAGGAGGAGAAAAGCCCTAACGGTATCGTCAGTGTTTCAGGAGCTTGTCAATAGTTACAGAAAGTGCAGAATAAAAAAGTTGCATCCAAAAGACTTGAAAAAGTGATATAAAGACAAACATTAGTATGCAGAAATGGATTGTACATACCTGATTTACAATAAATATAATCTAAAGATTATCTGTGCTCTGCTATTACATTGCCTGGAACATTTTTAGCCAGGGAACACACAGTGGCACAGCTTGTGGGTTATAAACCCTATTTTAAGACTGATCAAGTCACAGTAGAAGGCTGCGGTCTGGTTTTGATGCACAAATTAAAGGTAACTGTATAGTACAATGCCTTATAAACGTGGTCCATGAATAATGTCATAGACTAGTGTACTCATTTATTGTATATTATTTCATGTTCCTAATAATATCACTGACATAATACCTCTAATAGTAGATCCCCAACTAGTGTAATGCTGCCCAAGTCCTGCTGACTTCAAGGGAGCTACACATACATCCAGTATATGTCTTGTTTTCTTGTTTGGGTTTTTTTCATTGTAATTCAGGAAGCCTGTCATTTTTGTTCCCACAGGAAACCTTGGAAGCAAACCATAACTCCTGAGTTATCAGCATGTGTAGATCATTTCCCCTGTGTTAAACCTGTGTGCCCCTTCAGACTGCTACGTACAATGGCATGCTGTGGCACTGAGCTGAGGCACATAAAAAATAAGATGATAGCTCATATCACCTATTAGCTGCAAGCTACCCTCTCAGAACGACGATGGAAATGTTGACGCTCCTGTCTTTTATAGTACGTTGTCCAGTCAAATTCTAGGTCCTCGAACCAAAAAGCTCCTCGCTGGAGTGAGATGGAGAAGAAATCTATTCCAGCTCATACGATTTAGAACAAAGAAAAGCAAAAAAAATGATTGAAACCTGGATGGCTGAATAAAAGTAAGCGTGACTGAAAAACATGAGTTTGAACCCACCCTAACATTGCTGATCAAGCCAGAACAGTTCTTCATATTTTCTGGACAAAGTTGCTGAATTTCAGCCATGAAAGCGTGTAGTGCCTGGAAAGGAAAGAGAGACGCAGACGGCACCTGGGAAAGCTGCTGCTGTGCAAGTGTCTCGAGTAGATAAACAGGGCAGTAGGGACATGTAACCAATCAGCACTTCTAATACCAAGAGAAAAACATTAGCAGCCACACAGCATTCCAGGGTAACTACTTTAATTTGCCTGGAGATAATATCAATCACATCCGACTAGTGATTTTTTAAATTCTTAATTCAAGACTAAATGGATTGGTACTTGATGCATGACTCTTCATCTTTTTAGATACCATTGCTCTGGTAATGACTCACATTACTCACTGCCTTTATCCTTGGGGTTTTAGTGAATGAGCTACATATTAAGCAATTGCACTTTACAATGATTACACTTCGTAAAATCACTAGAGGGATGAAAAGCGGCAAGCATCAGAGCTTCCTACTCCCACGAAACACACAGAGAAAAGACAGAGGTTAAATTCATAAGAAAAGGTGCTCTGTACTGGGACTCTGTAGGAATTTTGATAAAGCTGTTAACAAAAACTAGGATTTCAGAAAGTTATTGTAATTAATTACAGCCAAGGAATTAAATATAAGCATTCTTGGGAACGAATCAACCTCTGTCATCCTTATGCTCCAGATTCTTCTTATTTTGCGGTATTGGTGGTACCAGCATCTGTCGTGGAATTCAAACCTCGCTGCAGGTTTCTGTCCTAGAATCAAATATGCACTTTGCAAAGAGCTTATTTTCAACTCCTAATAGCCTTTCGGAAATAAATATGGGGTAAACAATGCAGTATTGTCTCCCAAGTCTGCAAACAGCCTGGAAAAAAATACAGCTCTCAGAGAGAAACACAGACTTTTCCTGTCTAATTTGATGGTATGAAATCTAGAGACACAGTCAGGTAACCGCTTTGCTCGCCTATCAGAAATAGGGGTCCATAAACCATTATGTCTTGCTGACATAAAACTCCCCCAGAATTGACTGCTCCCTCCAAAAAGCAAGCCTCTCTGCGGTCACAGGGGAAAAGTGTCCAGTCTCAGTGACCAGCCAACAAAGCTCTGTCCCAAACC